GGGGGGAAAAAAGGTCTGGCCAAGTGTTTTTTTTGGGAAACAACGATTGGAGGCTGCAGAGGGGATATTCCATCGCCTCCCTGACCCCTTAAGCTCCAGTGGAAGGGGCGTCAACTGACCTGTTACCCCTCGTTGAGCTTTTCCCTAAGTCCTTCAAGTTTTGGCTATGGCTCCTGTCCGGCCCATGATAGTGGGGTGCCATGAATGGTAGGTGAAAACTACAGTGATGTATGTTGCTGAAAAACCATTTCAAGAGTCAAGTAACATTTGGCTAGACCCAGGTCGAGACAAAATTTCTTCCTCACAAAGAGGTAGAGAAGACACACTTCTTTCAGAGGCACAAGTAATACGAGCACTAATGATAGAAAAGGATTTAATAGAACCACTACGTACAATACAACCAGAAACATACAGATACACATACAACAAGAAAAATAGATCCCAACATATAACAAGTTCAGCAATAGACTATGTCCTTATTTCCCAGACTCTTAGAGGTGCAGCCCATGGCATAGGATTAGGAAAACACTCGTACCACAATGGTTTGGACCATACTCCCATCTTTCTAAACCTACTATTTGGCCTGGGACAACAGAAAGGTGTGATTTTCTTCAAAATCAACAATTGACTACTGCATGCTAAATAAAAAAAAGAAACAATAGCATATGCATGCATAACAACGGAGAGAGAAGGTGCAGACTTCCCAACATTACTCGCTAATCTATCCTAAGCAGCCTCTTTAGCCTCAAGGAAAATAGCAGCCAAAAGGGACCAAATGATAAAGGAATTGGAGGCAGGAGTCAATCTTGCAGAAAGAAACTTCATAAATAACCATAGAGTAACAAAATACGAAGAGCTACTGGCAAGATCTAAAGCTGAATTAGCCAACTGAAACGCTTGGAAGGCGAAAGGCTTACGCATGCGATCTAGAATCAAAGAATGGTAGGAAGGAGAAAAAATGACGGAGTTCTTTTTCTAGAAAATTAAAGAAAGAGGAAGAAATGCGGTCATCCATCAATTAAGAGGTGAGGAAAAACTTACGTCAAACTCGATGAAAATGCTAGCTATAGCAGAAGTTTAAAAAAAAATCTCTATACTTCCACTCCGGGGCTAGACGGTCTATCCAAAGAATTTTGGCAATCTTACTGGCCACTACTGGGAGAGGGATTTTGCAAGTTCATGAGATTGGGCCCCTACCTAAGTACATAAATAGTCACACTACTATACAAAAAAGAAGATCCTACGTATATCAGGAACTATAGACCCATTACACTACTAACGGTAGCATACAAAATCCTAGGTAAGCTCCTAGGAAATAGAATAAGGAACATAACCAAATCATGTTTCCACATAGATCAAACGGGTTTCATTCCAGGCAGATTCATACTCGATAATGTAATGACATTAGCGAAATCAGTAAGATATATCAATGATAAGAAAATCAATGCAGCCATCATTTTCTTTGACTTCCAAAAAACCTACAACCAGGTTAATTGGGATCTCCTACAACAATGCATGGGGAAAATGGGGGTGGGACCCATATTTCGAAAGTGGGTTAAAAGTTTATACAATGAAGCCTATGGAGTGGTACAAGTAAATGACCATGTATCAAATACTTGCAAGATGTCAAGATCAGTGAGGCAAGGAGATCCGCTTGCAGCACCGATCTTTCTCTTCATCATGGAGGTTATAGCCTCCTTTCTCAGAAAGGATACCTCCATAGAAAAAATCACCTCGACATCCGACGAAAATACCCACAACTTCATCATACCTCCCACCATCCTTTTCGCTGATGATCCAACATTTTTAATAAGAGCCACCAATTCCTCCTTCAAGGCTCTCACGACAGCGATGATTGCAAATCAGTTAGCCTCAGAAATGCGGATAAACTGGCAAAAAATTGTAGGATGGTGGCTAACAAATGATAACAGTGAACCTCCCCAAAACTCACCAGAAGGCATGACATGGGCAGATCCCGCCAACCCAATGAGAGTTCTGGGAATACAACTTAATGAGTTAGGTGCAGCCGCGGAAATGGTCCCTAGCCTGCTCGCCAAGATGATCACAAAACTGAATGCATGGGAGAAGGTACACAACTCACTATTTGGGCGTGCCCTAATTTTGAACTCATCTGTCTTCTCAATGATGTGGTATGTCGCAGCCATTTGGAATTCCGATTACAAAGTTATAAGAGAGATTAAAAGGAAGGCCGCAACATACCTATGGACAGGGGATGCATCTAAACCACATTTCATAACCAACGTCGCATGGCAATACGTCACAAGGAAGAGAAGTCAAGGAGGACTGGGGGTTCTTGATCCAGCAACACAAATAAAGGCCCTTCAAACGAGATGGATTCTAAAATTGCTAACCTCACCCAGCCTCCCATGGAGGACACTAGCTCTAGAAGGAATCCAACATCTGCCGATTTACAGCACGCCATCGAATATGGAAGGCTCCTTTTGGTTAATGAGTAAATCTTGGTCAATGAAAGGCAGATCAATGAACACACAACACTCCAAAAGGGAAGCAAGAAAATATTTCTGGAGGAATATCACCGAAGTTTGGAGAGAAATCTTCCCTTCTAAAGTGAGAAGCCACAAAACAAGGAAGAGATTCTCAGACAGTCTTGCAACCCGTGGATAGTAGAAGAAGATGACAAACCCTTTACGTTAACCACAAAGGACACAAAATGGGGAGCTTGGCTAGAAAAAGGAATCTGGCAGGTGATACATTTATGGGATGACGACAGGAAAGAATGGAAGGACAAGAGGCAGCTCATAACCATACTCAAGGGTTGCCATCATTTAGCAAACAACCTTCATCAATAACAGCTAACATCCCTCCAAAATGGATCCCAATTCTAAAAATGATAGACAATGGATGACGGGAGACTGGGCGGTAATGACCCACACAACTTCTTTAGAACACGCATTGGCTTTCAAGGAAAAGGTAGAGGTGTAACGACCCGCCAAAACACAGACAGAGAACACTGCTGATTTCTGGGATTTGCCACTGGAATGAATGCCTTGCTGAGATTCCCGCATTCTGCTGTGGTTTCCAAGTCTGTGTGTGTGTGCGTGCCTGCTGGTTTGCGTGCCTGTCTGAGTGCTTGTCGGCTGAGTGTGTGTGTGACCCGCAAGGGTACTTGTTGGTTGAAAGGCCCCGCAGGGCCAGTACTTACCTGTGGCCGTGACTTTGAGGGTTGCAGCGGGAAAAACACTCTCAAGTAGCAGGTAGGCCGGTACCACTCAAGTAGTGGTAGAAGTGTCAGGTACTGGAGGCCGAGCAGAAGAAGACAAAAGTTGGCATTTTTAGAGGCCCAGTAGCGGTAGGTTAGAGGTAGGCCGGTACCAGTCCAAGTAGCCCGAGTCTAGGGACTGTCCGGACGATAGCAGAGCCTGCAATGATGTTTCCCTCCGAAAGGGAGGAGGTACCGGTTGCTGGGAGGCCGCTCGGCCTAGGAAGTCACCGCCCAAGAGGCCAGTAGGCCGCTATATCTTCCAGAGGAGCAAGCAGCTCCTCCTCATTTGCCGTATGCAAGTATTGGCGACATGCTGCTGGAGCCAAGCGCTGGACTTGGGCAGCGCTGCCTGGAGGTGACGAGCAGCTGGGCGCTCAGCCTGGCTATGGCGAGCAGCCGAGCCTGAGGAGGAGGAAGAAGGGGGCGAAGGAGGAGAGTGGCGAGGTACCTACCTGGCTATGGTGGACACTATCTTCATCACCTTGTTGGGCGCTGCATCTGGAAGGCCCCAGTTGGGGTAGTGCCGCACCAAGGAAGCCCGAGGCAGAGTCAGGCATGGCGGCTTAGTCAGCAGCGGCATAGCTGCTTTGGGTTGTCCTTTGGACAGGAGTGCAGCGACATAGCTGCTTTGCGTTGTCCTTTGCACAGGAGGGCAGAGCCAAGCCATAGCTATGGTGGACCTATTGTGATGCCAGCAGTAAAAGAGAACTTCGGACATTGATTCTGGTTCATCCACTCATTGTTATTATTATTATTGGAAGAAGAATAAGATTGGCGAAGTGAAGGAGGAGGAGGAAGGTGGAGAGAGAAGGGGGATTTGTCATTGGTCTTGCTGGTGTACATCTTCTTCTTCTTCTTCTTCTTCTTCTTCTTCTTCTTCTTTCTCTCTTCGTTGGTCTCTATCTCTTTGCAAGAGCTTTCATTTCTTTCGCAATTGGGTGGCATTGTCTTTCATTTTGAATTTGCACTTCGGGAATGACCAGGATTGTAACAGAGGGTAAGGACAATTGGATCATGTTTACTATGCATACAATAAAGGTACACCCAACGAACTGTTGGAATGCAGACCCATGTTCGGATCCCAGTACAATCAGATGACCAGAATAAAATCCCTTCGAATTACCTGGGGCCAGTCAGTTTAATGATGATATCTCAAGGCCGTCACCCTTTAAGAAAACAAATAAATATATTTTTTTTAAATCACAGATCCGCACAACGTGGAGCAAAGAAACGGTTGAAAAAGTGGAAATACATTCCTTAGTTTATGTGAGAAGATACCATGTTGGATACACTAATCCCTCCAACAGTATGTCCTTTTGTGACGCCTCAGTTTGGAAAAGGGCTTAGTTAGTCAAACCACCACGTGCCGGCCCAGCCATTGAAGAATGTCTGCCAGTTAACATGGGGCCCAAGTGCCTATTGCAAAAAGGCTGGGGATGTAGCACAGGCAAAAGAACACGAGAATACATGAGCAGCAGCAGGATGCACAATGGGCAAATGGCAAATACATGAGCAGCATAGGCAACAGGACACAACATAACCAAATATATGAGCAGGATAGGCAACCGGCTACAACATCGACGAATACAATGAGCAGCAACACTTTGGCCGGGCAAAAATTGGCATTGGGAAAAAGAGGCTCGGAGTAACTGGTGGTTTAAAGCCTACGGCAACCAGCTTTCCCGGAACTTAACTCCCTGCTATTATATCTGTATGTAGCCCAAATACAACTAAAATGACCTGGACTATCTGTTCTATTCTTTTACTAGGACTTGTCGCCGAGCCGTCGTGGGATAAGGTAGCCAGTGTACTGAATGGCACATGCCAATGCTATCGTCAACCTCACAGTATCTGTATCAAGCCAGAATAATGACCAGGTGTTGTGTCTTTTGAAATCCCTTTTTCCGCTTGGCAGCCTACGCTATCAACTATGATGAGCAAGCAAGGAGCATCATTTTATCCTGCCAAATGGGGATGGGGCATGGTGGGGCAAAAGCGAGGGAACACCTTTGACCCCTGTTAACATTTTGGCTCTCTATTGTTGTGTGTGTGTCATTCCCTCCCCCCCTCTCACTGGCCCCATTTCTTCTTCTCTCTGCAGAGGCTCTTGGTGAGTACTATGAGAATTTGGCCAAGAAAAAGGAGGCTGCAGGTGAATCTGACGGGAAACCCAGTGAAATACAGACGATCACACAGGCGTTCGTTGCACCAGACACAGCAGCAGCGCACATTGATGGGATGCAGTCCCGCATATGACTCCGCTGCATCCACAGTCTTCGTTCTCTGTTGATGTCATCAGTCAATTCCCAATGACCTGACCAGTTTAAGGAGGGACACACTTTTTTTTCTCTCTTCTTTGTCACGTGTCTAGGGTGGCATTAGAAACTCCGAAAACCAAACAAAAAAAGGATATTATTGGAGTGAATGGCAGAATTCACAGAAGTCTATCTGGAGATAGCACAAAGACAAATATGAGACTGTCGTCCACTGAACATGGGGTGAGTGATTTGTATGGGAAAAAAACTAGTCTCTCCTTTTTCCCTCTCAAGAAACATCGAGTTTAAACCACCAGTACTTGGCCCAGCTATCGGCCGCGGAAAAAAAATAGAGTAGAAACGTTTCTAGTCGGATGAATTTGGGCGCTCCTGTAGTAGCCCGTACGTTTCCTAAAATAGTGGCGCGTTAACGGGCACGACTGTAGGAAGTACTGGTGGTTTAAAGATTTCTTTGAGAGAGGGAAGAGACCTCAAGGGTCCCTGGAAGAGTTGGTAAACCACAACAACGAAGACGTAGTGTTTCAAGCTTGTGGATCATGTAGCGGACGGGTGGGGTGCAGTGTGTGCAGCTCCACACCAATAAACTGGAGACGACAAATCTCTGCAAGACCTCAACTTGAGGGGTGCTCTTATTTCTCTCTCTCTCTCGCACTTGCCAGTTGGCGTTCAGTAGAGAGGTAAAGAAGAAGCCTCATGCTGGGAGGGAAGGCGGGGAAGGAAGGAAACATCACTGAATTGCCTTTTGGAGGGAAGAGGGAGAGTGATTGTGCTCAGCCGGGGTTTGATTTCTGGAGAGGTATATTACCTGCTTAAAGGACTCAAGGACTGGAATCCTGTTTTTCAGTCACCCCTGGTTAGTAAATTTCTCGCCATTCGGGACACCTGTTGAAATCGGAAAGATACCGAGAAGATTAGCATAACCCCTGTGGATTTAAGGATGACGCCCAACACTTCCCAAGAAATCGGTTATTGTTTTGAGAGACCCTTGGTACTAAGAAGTCGAACCCTGTGGATATCCTCAGGGTTGACACTTGGTAGTCCTTTTTGGAAAGAGGTAATGGAGAACGGGCCTCAAAGGTCCCTGCTCGCAACATGGCTCGCCAGTATGCCCAGGTTTCTCGAAGGCAGGAAGGACCTCACTTTTAACATACAGTGGAATCCTATTCTGACTATTCACTTATTATTAAGTGCATGTTTCCAGCACTCATCCCAGGGGCGAGGCCCCAGTTCCCTGGATTCTCTGTTTGTGGCAGTCGATCTTCATAACCTATGGTCAGAAATGAAGAATCAGGGTAAGTGGGACCTCATCACGGGCCCTAGCAACTCACTCCCTGCATAGTAATCTGTATGGCACCGCATACACGTACAGCCGTACGAATCCGTACGCGTATTACGGGACGGGCCCTGTACGTTTTTTTTTTGTTTTTTTTTTGTTTTTTTTTTGTTTTTTTTTTTTGTCGGGGTGTGGTTAGTGTCCATGCACCCTGTATACCTGAAATCAGCTGAAAAAACGAAGTTCCAGGGCCGATTTCAAGTATGTACGGTGTGTGGCTTAGAACACCCCTGTCCACCATTTTTTAATTGCTATATCCAATGATTCCAATCTATTTATCGATTGGATACAGACCCTAGATAACTTAAGAAAAGAAAAGCACAAAATATGTGGGTGCGTGTGTGTTTTGTTTGTGTCAGTGTCTCTGTGTGTTTGATGGTGTCATTGGTGTGTGTTCCTTTCAATCACACACACACACACACACACACACACACACACAAACACACACATATTGCCATTGCCGTGAAGTTTTTGTATTTTATAATGACAATTTTTCTGGTTCTATTTTTTTTCTTCTTATTTTAATAAGAACAAGGTTACCTGTTGTGGCTTCGCCCGCGATAAAATGAAGGAAATAGTGTTAAAATGAGGATGGGTGGGGATTTGTTGGTTGGGAGGTGAGTTTGGGCTATGAATCCCCCCCCGCCGTGGTCGCCACACTCACGACCGCGGCTTGCAGTCATGGCGGCGACCTCGCGGTCATAACCGCAGCCGCGGTGATTTTCACGGCCGAGTGGCGTCCAGAGGGGAGTTGAGGCGGATTGGGGTTTCCGGAAACCTGACCCT